CATTGGCATTATATTTTTTGACAGTTGAACATCAAATAACTATTTTTTTTTAATTTAACCCTATATTTTGCCCTCCACACATTAAAGTTAAAGAAGTAAAGATTTTCTGTAGAATAATATTAAAAATGATATCTCATTGGTAGAGGGCGGAATATATGCATCAAAATATAACAAAATATGCGCATATATATGCATCGTTTTTACCAAAAATATGCAATTATTTTGTCCAATTATGCCTAAATATGCAAATGCATATTTGTTAAAAATACTTAAAAAAAGTAGGGGGTGGGTAGCTCAGTGGTTAGTGCGTTAGCCTGTGGACTTAGGGGTCCCGGGTTCAAATTCCAGCCGGGACGCGATTTTTTAAATTAATTAATTTATTTAAAAATTAATTCTGATGCCTAGCGAATATTTCCACTTGACCATTCACTGTTGGGTTCTAATTAACATTGCTGTTCCTAATTTGGTACGCTATCAAAGCCATTACACGAAAAAAAAAACCAAAGAAAATATGTAATATAAAAATTTATTTTAAACAAACGAAACACAAAAACTAGTAGAAGTTAAGTATAGAATAGTATAAAAATATTAAATAGTAATATTATAATAGGAATTTATAATTAAATATTTTTCGAAATTTTCTATTAAAAATTTTTGTCTTCTGTCTGTAAAAATATGTTTTGATATAGAAAAGGTCCTTTCAACATCTACCGAAGTAATAGGACAATACCGTAATTTTGGAAGTAATGTACAGGGCCAACGTAAAACTTCTTTGGAAAATTTTCCCTCAAAAATGTTTTTCACTTCCCTTATTTCATTGAACCCTTCATTCTTTAATAAAGTTGTATTTAATTTTTTTCTAATCTGAAGGCCTATGTCACCAGGAACATTGTTACATTTATCGGAAACTGTTGCATTAAAATTTGTTGATTCGATTAAACTTAAATTTTTCTTTTCCAATGAAGTTATTACATCAGGTAAAAAACTAAAATTAACCTTTATAAACACAAGTTGCTTAGGCACAAGGGGATTTTTTTAACAATTCTTTACTTTGCACTACACATTGTGAATTGTCTTCTATATCCAAAATTAAATCCTTAATTGCTTCAAAATTTTCTGCATAGAATATAGCTGCTTTAATCCATGTCCCCCATCGCGTAATTACGGGTTCCGGGGGCAAACACACCCCTACCATTCTCTCTTTATACAACTGCACCCTTAAAGGGGCTTTTAAAAATATTTTTTTCACATTCGAAATTAGCTTGTTAACCAAGGGATATTCTGTTCTCACAGTTTCTGCAACTAAGTTTATTCCATGCAGAAGACAAGTAACGTGGACCATATTTGGATAAAATATTTTTAAGTTTTGTCCTACTTTTATCATATATGGTGCTGCGTCAGACAAAAACACCAAGAACTTCTCTGAGGGAATTTGATTTGGTAAAACAAATTCTGCTAGAGATTATTGAATAAATCGGGTAACAGTTGTATTGTTAGTTTTTTCTAACTGTTTTGATGCAATTAAATATGATGTACCTGGTTCATTTTCTTTTAAGGCTCCAATCATAAGATGTACCATATATTTTCCACAAGCATCTGTACTTTCATCAACAATGATGTAAAAATTGCTATCATCCAGTAAAACTTTACTTTCTTCTATTACATTTATATATATAGCATGTACATTTTTTTTTCTGAGTGTAGATTCGTCAGGAATGGTTTGATTGCAATATTTTTGTAAAAATTCTCTTAGATGTAGGTTTTGTAACTTCTTTAATGGAATATTTGCCGCAACAAGAGCTTTGCACAAGTCCTGATTAAATACCTCCTTGTCACTTTTTGTTTTGTTGGCGTTTTGAAATGACCTCACAACGCATTGTTGAACCGGTTGTGATTTCATTTTTTGCAATTTGGCTTTATGCAATGATGTTTTCACGTGTTGAACCACTTTGAACTTTTTTTCGCAAACCACTATTTTGGCACAAGCTTTACAAAAAACTTTATCCCCATTGATTTCCAACGCTGGAAAGTTAATAATCCACGAAGAAATTCTCGACATTTTAGGACACTTTTAAAACAACAAATTATTACAAGACTTTTCACTAGGCAAATAACGAGGATACTATCTCATTAAACTGAATGAAAAACATTCAAAATATTCCGATGTTAGGGTAGATTGTTTACAAGAAATTACTGAGAATTTTATATAAACCGTTTTATTGTATTGTAGGTAATACTTTATCTGTGTAAATAACATCTATTAACAATTACCTTAGTGGGCTTAATCTCTTAAGAAGGTAAAAACCCAGTGCATGCCACCCTCCAAGAACTAATTAACAAGAATTTACAAGAAGTGACACTTAAAAACAAATTCAAAAATTTAAAAGGTCTTTATTTCAAATATATCTATATAATCTGTTAAAACAGTTTTTGATTTGCACAGTATAGTAATACTTTTTTTTTTTTTCGAAAATATGCAATATTTTCTTAAATTTTCTGAATTTTGGAAAAATATGCAATATTTTCTGAACTTTGGTAAAATATGCAAAAAATGCATATAAATATATGCTTTTTGCATATATTCCGCTCTCTACTCATTAGTAATCTGCTGTTATGACAAATTAATTTATTTGTCAAAAAAATTTACTTTTTTGTTTTTACATTGCATAAAAAATATTTTTTTATTTCGTTGCGAAATCAGAATTTTTGAAGGCATTGGATTTAATTTTCGCGTACATAATACAAAAATATCTCCTTTTGTAAATATTAATAAATAGCTGCGCCATTTTTAGGTTTTAACTTTTAAATAAAAACATAAATATTTTTATGAATTTAGTACTGTTAACTCATAGGTTTTTTTATTAATCTTATTATTTTAGTCGTTTGTGAGAAAAAAAAACAATCGTGTCATTAAAATAATTTACTTTCTAATTTTTGCTGCAAAAAACAACAAATTACTTAAAATAAAAGTAAAACTTTTATGTCATTGTATGTTAAGTGGACCAAAGAATTATTTTCACGATATTATTTATAAACACTTAAAATTTAAATTATTTCACTAGTGCTTTATTTGTGGACCTCGATAAGCGAAAACAGTGTGTTTTTTATACAAATACTAACAAATCAGAAAATACAGGGTGATTAACCATATATTATTTACGTCAGCAAACAATTTTGTACACAGTATATAGACAACTACTACTTAATTACCTTTAAAGACTTCAGGAATGTGATAAAACACTAATTATCAAGAAATAACACACACATTAATGAGTTTACATTAATATAATTGACGAGTCACTTTTTGAGAACTTTCAGGAGATGTACAAATTTTTTTAAGCTAGGACTAGGTTGTTTATTGTTTCGGCCTTTACTTGATAAAAATCCATTTTATCTTGAATGAGTAAAACCAAATTTGGTAGATTTTCACAAAACTTTTTTTTTAAAAAATAAAAATTAAAAAATTTAAAAGATACATTCGAAAAAGAAGTTGTACTTCGAAACATGTCTAGTGTTTTAAAATTTTTTTATTTTTATTTTTTAAAATAAAAGTTTTGTGAAAATCTACCAAATTTGGTTTTACACATTCAAGATAGGACTAGGTTGTTTTAAAAATAAACAAATTTTTTAAATAGTCATATACCTAAATATTTTTACAGAAATTAGGTATTTTTTGCATGACAAAAAGCGATTCAGTAACCTGAATCGAGATAACTCTCTGAAATAATCTTGTTATTAATGTTAGTCAGCAATTTCGGCTTATTACGCCATCATCAAGATTTTATAAACGAAATAAGCATATCAAGAGGATCACTAATTAAACTTAAAGAATAATTTAAAGTAAACTGAAGACGACAACGCTATAGGGGTTCAAAACTTTGATTACCAAGACCACAGTTCTTGAGATATCTATTAGAAATTTTGATGAAACCTACTTAAAGGTTCAATCTCTAGTAAAAATACAAATTTGAAATTATTTGCACTTGCTTATTATCCAGAATTTCATTAATATAATTCCATTCTGCAGACTTTAAATATAAAATTTCTAGTTTTATTTCTATCTAAAAAGATTTTCAGAGATGGTGTTATAACGCCAAAAAAAATTGTTTAGACATGGCTATTACTGACAATGACATGTATACAGTTTAAGATGGGATCATTGTTATATTATATATGATTCATAACTTTAAATCCCAATTCATAGCCCTAACCCTAAATATTTTCACTAGTAATACCACTAGAGGTCAAATTATTTCCGGAAATTTTTTCGAGCTCATTAATATTTTGAAAATTTCCCGAGAATATTTTCTAAAAATATTCATGAGCGAGAAAAAATTTCCTGATATTAATTTGACCTCGCGTGGTATTCGGTAAGAAAATTCCACGCCGAATTATGGTTGAAAATTAAATATTTTTACAATTTATTTTTCGTTTCTCAACAATGCAAATTATTTTCTCCAAGTCACCAGTGAAACATAAAAGGTGTTGTCGCCTTGATTGTTGAGTTGTCATGGTAACTAAGTGAGACCCTAACCTCGAATATAATTTCAGTTTTGAAGTTGTCAAGCGGCCCGACGTAAAAAAATGCTTCGCTGCAATTATTTAGGCCTTCAAATTGCTTATTTCTACTCATTGTAGTTGCATGGGAATACCATTTGAAAATAGAAAATAGTATATTCTTTAATTTTACGTAAGTTTTGAATAACTACAAGTGATAGAAAATTGTTTTTCTGCGTTTTTATTAACATGCGTTATGAGCGCTTTAAAATGGTATGAAATTCATAACCAGCGTCAGCAAGCATCAATCGTAGGAGGCTGTGATCATTGTATTTTGACAGTTCAAAACATTAAATAACTCGCGTTTTGTTGCGATAAAGAATATTGCACAGCAAGTAAAACCAACAAAATTACCTATTTGTTTAAAAATGAATCGATTTGAAAATCATACGCTATGCAAAATATGCGTGAAATTGTCTGATGTAATGATCAATCATTGCACCATGACTTACTTACTCGGATTAATAGAGGATTGTGACTCCAACTTGAAAAACGAAAATTTGTTCCGAATTGTCCACGAATATTTGCACCTAAACTACGCAAAATTCAAAGTGCTGAATGGGAAAAAGGTGAATAAATTAGTGTCTAAATATTATATATATTTTATTAGACATAGACACATAATTCAAAGCATCCAAAGTCCTGCATTTTCGCCATTAAGAAGAAAAGAAGTGGCCGAAGAATATAGAAAACACCTTAGCATTGTAACTAAAATGTATCAAAACTAAACCTATTATGTGAACAAATAAAAACCAGTCTGTCAAAAATGGTCTGTTATTGTAAACGTCAAAAAATTTCCAGTATAATTCGCTGTTGGGTACCCCACGAGAAAAAAATTTCCACTAAAATACCTCCGTTGCCATGGTGATCTGTCAAAAACACGTATTTTGATTGGTTCAAAATTGCAGGTGTGGAATTTTCACTTATATGATTTAAATAACATTATTTTCGGTTCTGTTTGGAAGACATTGGAATCATAAAATGCAACCACTAAAATTTTCTTCTTAAAAAATGTTAAAAAGAAACAACCCTGGATAACCGATACCGTAAAACTGATGCAGAAATTTAGGGACAAAGCTTATAATAGATACAAAAATTAAACAATGACGTAACTTAAGATCAGCTGCTATTAAACGAGAAAAAGGCATACTACTATTCAAAACTTAATAATTGTACCGCTAAAGAAAAGTGGAAAGAAATGAAAAAAATTAACATTAATAACACAAATAATTGGGTTAATCCGAAAGTCCTCAAAAAAAGGAAAATTATTGTAATAATTTTTTAATTAACGAAGCAAGAGACCACCATATACCGGACAATGATCTATTACGGTACTATAACCATAATGTTAAAGCTAGTATCTGTAGAAAATTTAACTCTACTAACACCAATGATGATGAGGTTCTAAATATTATTAAAACTATAAAAACTAAAGCCTATGGTCTTAAACATACAAAGCATCATACTTTGTTACCCAATAATTATGCCTTATTTAGTCCATATTTTTAATAAATGCATAGATCATTGTTACTTTCCTCATATTTGGAAAAAGGCTTATGTGGTACCCCTACCAAAACTCTCGAAACAATTAGAGTTTAGTCACTTAAGGAGTATAAGTATTCTTACTACGTTCTCTAAAATACCAGAGAAAATAAGAAGTCATCTTGATACTGCTAGAATATTACCATTAAACCAATCAGGCTTTAGAAGCGAGTCTACAGCATTAACTGCAGTTACAGATGTTATTGTTTCTTCTCTCGATAACAATAAACTTTGCGTTTTAATTTTGCTTGATTACTTCCATGCCTTTGACACTTTGAATCATCAAATATTGCTTGCAATTTTACATTATGTAGGTTTTAATACTACTGCCAATTCATTCTCCCCATACAAATCACCCAGATGACATCTTTCTTGCGTTTTTTGCAAAAAAAACATGAATATTTTCTACCTGTATACAGAGCACTTTCTACGTATCTAGTCAGCCGTCCAGATCTTTGGCATCACCCTACTGGAGCTTGCCTAACTCAATCATAGCCAACATCAAAAAAGGTGTGGCATGTACGATTTAGGCATAAGCTGCAATAAACCCATCTTGATCGCAGTGGAAGACGAAAAGAAGATCCCACTCATTTTATACCTTTTTAAAACAAATTTACTTTGGACTATTTTAGCTGAAAATGTGCTATACTATCTTTCTAATGAATTGCAAGTGCTGCAGACTGTACCACAGGGAAGTATTTTAGGCCCTCTGCTATACAACATGTACATTTCTAACTTCCATATCTATCTGTCTCACTATAATTACCATTTCTATGCAGATAATACACAATTGTGACATTAACTTGGCACAAATACAAATTAATAAAAATATATCAACAATAGAGTCATTATAAATTTATTAAAAATATATACAAAATATAAAAGATCTCAAAATATATCAGACTTCATTCATTACAAAGAAATGCGGAATATCGTTACTATAGCAATTAGGAAAGAAAAATGAGCTTATTTAAATTATCGTGCAAGCATGCAAAACAAAACAGACCTTTGGAAAGCAATGAAATCATTGAATATTTCAAATAAAACTATAGTCCATATTCCTGATGGCTTAAGTGACCCTACTGATATAAACAAGTATTTTACGTCGGTATTCAATCAGAGAAATTGTTGTCCTAACACTACATCTTATTATAATTCAAATCTATTTAATTCTGGTATTAATTTCTCTTTTAAACTTGTCAAGATCAGATTTTTTGGTATTTCCTACACAACCAGGTAGAACAATAATAAAGAATTAACTAGATCAAATAGTTTACATGATTTTTTAAATATCGACTTTTAATAATTCCCCCTAAATATCTAACACTTCTGTTATTCATCAAACAAAAAGTTTTCGAAATGTTTTACATTTTCTTACTATATAGTAGAAAAACATGCTACGTTGACAAATAAACGCTACAGGAATTAGGTTTTTGAGAAAAGTACACATAATCAAGGGTATGTAAGCCGCAAAGTTTATTATTTATTAAATAATACTACAAAAATCGCCCTGTAAATCGGGCGAACAAAATATCCCCAACATGGGCATTAGCGATCGAGGTGGTAGAAGTCACCAAATGATCAAATAAAATCGTGAGAGACGACTGTATAAAAAAAATAATTTAAGGATACCTGCAGGAGTTTGACGAGCTGATAGGTAGTCCCTAGACACTTCTCGGCCAGGAGGATGTCTCTGGAAGATCCATAATGGGCCTAAGTGAAGTGGGGGAAACCCGTCCTTCCCACCTTATAGATATAAAAAATTACAGAAAAAATACACAAGCGGATTGCCAAGAAAGATATGGAATAAGGGGAGAGAACAGTAAATGAAATTAGGTCAATAGTTTTGGAATTAAAATCAAACTCATTAGGAATTTGTAACATCTCAGCAAAAATGTTACAATTATTTATTTCAGTCTGTGCTCCTTACATAACGCACATTGTAAATTGCTGTTTAGAAGTTGGTTACTTTCCTGACAGCTGAAAGTATTCCTTAATCAAGCCTTTGCCAAAATCAAATAAGCCTTAAACATTTAGCGACCTTCGGCCCATCAGTATTTTACCGACCTTGTCCAAAATTTAGAAAAAGTAATTAGTAAACAAATATATATATATTTTCGAAAGAGGTTCAGTACTACAACATTACTCTTAGATTTAACAGATAACATTATAAGATCAAAGGATAAAGAAAAAGCTTCAGCAGTTACTCTGCTTGCCTTTCTAAAGCGTTTGACACTATAGATCATCAGCTTCTTTGTGTAAAACTCAAACATTTTGGTTTCGAAGGAACCTCACTAAGTTTTTTTAAATTTTATTTAAATAACCACTACCAAAAAGTAACGTTAGAAATCTTCTAACTTTATGTGTATAAAATCAGGGGTACCCCAAGGCTCTGTTCTTGGTCCCCTTTTATTTTCCATACATAAATTAGACCTTTATAAATTATTGGAGCATGTAAATATACACTCTTTTGTTGACGACACGTCACTATATTGTTCCTTTGACCCATGTGAAGTAGATATAGCCTCGCAGAACATGAATTCAGATCTAAATGCAATATATATATTTTCTATGAATCATAACCTTAAATTAAATATCTTTTGTTTACCATCGTTAATTACTGGCTTTAATATTTATCTGTAATGTATATTTATTTTATGTGGTAAACAATAAACGATTTATTAATATAAACAATAGTTATTATGTGTCATCTGTTTAAACTCTTGACCAAAAAATGATTATTCTAATTATTATTATTATTTGTTACAGGTGATCCTATTATTTCTGAGCGTCTCAGCCACCCTTGCTGATGAAAAGAAGACCACCAAACGTGGTGTCTATGGAGAATCTCTCGGCTTCGGTGTAGGGAGCCTCGATTTAGGACACGGAGGAATTTACAGTTCCGAAGGAGCTGGTCTAATCCACGGAGGTGCAGGACTAGTTAACGGTGGATTTGGATTAAACAATGGAGGATTTGGTTCAAGCATCAGCTACGCGCCTGGAATCGGTTACGATTCTGGAGCTATTAATTTAGGACAATCGATCTCCAACCATGTTACTGTGACTAAAAAGATTGGAATTCCGGTACCGCAACCGTATCCAGTAACAGTTGAAAGAAAAATCCCATATCCTGTTTACCAAGCAGTTCCTGTACCAGTTGATCGTCCTTATGCTGTTCATGTACCCAAACCATACCCAGTGGCTGTTGAAAAACGTATCCCTGTGCCAGTAATTAAACACGTACCTTACGCAGTGAAGGTTCCAGTGAAAGTACCTTATGCAGTGCCGTACAAAGTAGCGGTACCACAACCTTATCCAGTACATATAACAAAACATGTACCGGTACCTGTGCATACTCCTGTTTATATCAAAAAAGCAGTACCTGTTGTAGTTTCTAGCGGATGGCATAAAGGTTGGTCTGGAGGATGGAATAAAGGATGGTCGTCCTCTTGGTAAATGGTGTTCTGTGATTACATCAAAACATTTATAAACATTTCATGTTCTCATTTGTTTACTAGTCTTATATGTATATTTTTTTAATATGAAACAATAAAAGTTTTAAAAAATTGTGTTTTGTTTTAGTAACAATTTATCAAGGTAAAAGATTGTTATTCAGTTTAACAAAAAATGTTATGGTATGAATAATATAAAGAAAGGAAGCCCTTATTTTTTATTTAGCCAAATAGGCATAGTGTTTTAGTATAATACCAATATCCAGTGTAATATTTCTTTCGTATTCAACTAATATTATTATCTAACATTTGCTTTATATATATATATATATATATATATATATATATATATATATATATATATATATATATATATATATATATATATATATATATATATATATATATATATATATATATCTAATTTTCTTTGATTACAAAATATAGCCATATCGACATGGGTTAGTTGTATATTTGCATTTATTACCCAACAGTATCCCATTAAAACAATATAAAATTAACTAAGAAAATAAATAAGGAGATGTAGAAAATAGTAGAAAATCAATATGAATTCAAAGATAAGCTTTTGATTTGTTTTTAGTTCATATAAGCTACAACAGAAAATATCACAAATATGTGGTAGTTTGTTTGCATTATTACACATTAAGGACATAGTATCCTTGAGCATTAGAATGGCGTCTGCAGACCAAAAAGTTAATTGTAACTATTTCCGTAATTATACCGTATATCGTACTATTTTTTTTTTTTTTAATTGTAGATAAAGGTCCAACTTAGGTGGTTCAGGCATTGATTTTTTTTAAATTAATTGTTTTTAATTAAAAACGTGTGGTACAAAATGGCCTATTTTTAGATCTTTTTCATTGTAAGAATAAACTACAAATTCAATAAATTTTCTGAAAATAAAACCTTGAACCACTTAAGTTAGACATTTTCCTATCAAATCGTTCAATCGGAAAATACGAAAAGGTTCAGACCTCCGAAATAGTTATAAATGAAAATTGGGTTGCATTTTATATGTAATCCATTTTTAAAAAAATTTTGGACTAAAAATGGCGTCCTCACTTTCCGAAAATAATCAATAATTAGTCCATCTATGCCTCCATAGATGGATCGAAAAGATATTACATTTCGTTTATGCTTTTACAGCATAAAAACGAATTAAAATTTGATAACATCAAATGTTTTCTTTTTTTAAATAGATTGTAGTATTTTAAAATAATAATTACACTAAAACGAGTTAATAAAATGACAAAAAGAATACAGAATGTGTGACATTAATTAAAAGTCGAGCAATGATCGCCTGGTCATTGTATAAAGAACCAATAGTAGTCTCACCTTATGGAAGTTTCATTGGAGCGAAATGGATACTACCAATAGATGGCGCTAGTGAATATGAATAAGTCGATATTCGTTTGCAGTGGGCGGAGTTGAGGGTCCAGCAGAAATTTTTGAGAATGACTGAGACCGATCGATGGGTTTCTATTTTTAGCTCTTGGATGAAAGTTTATACACTCGTGATTCAATGTTCCCAATAAGAGTACCTAAATGATTTTTGAAAGTGTCAAAAATGTTTACCGAATTCAGTAAAATGATACTGAAAAATAAAAATATTATAGCCATTAATAATTTTTGAATTTTCAACTTTAACACCATGCATTTCGAAAACGGGTATTTTTTTTAGCATATTTCGTTTAATAGTTTTATTTTTATTCAGATAATCTTCAGTTGTACTATGTCCCATTCTTAATGATATATATATATATTATGATATAAATTAGTTAACTATTAATTATTGTTTTAAAATTAGAATTAAAAATTTGTGTATTTATAACTGTTTTGAAATTAATAAAATAGAAAATATGCTTTTGATTTTCTTTTCCTTTACAGGTTTTATACGAATTAATTTAAAATAAATTATATACTATTGATAATAGCAATAATCATAATTTCTTAATTGTTGAAAAAAAATTGTATTTTTAATTCAAATACATATACCTATAGGTAGGTAAGGTACCTATCTAAGTACTTAGCATAAGTAATTATAAACAACAGGTTATTTCTTTAATCTGGTGCGTAACAATGTAATAAAAAAACCCTTAAGATGGTTGGTAAATAATATAAATGAATTCTTAATATTGAAGTAAACACAATGGGTTCTATAAGGATTATTGGTTGGGGTTCGGCTCTGGGGGATAGGGCATTTAGGGTCGAAATATTGAAAATAAACTTGGTATATGGATGTATTATCCCATGAAAATAAAAATCGCTTTAAAAAATTCACCCTTCCCCACCCCTATCTCATATGGTGAGGGTGGCATCCCCAAAAAATTAAGTTAGAACTTTTTAAATAAAACAGCTTTTTATACATAAATACCCAAAATAACAATAACAACTGTTGACAGATGCCATAGGTGAGATTGTTTTTTGACATCTGTCGTTAGGTTAGCTAATTTTGTCTGACATAGCCAAGTCGCAAACCTTTATCCTGTTGACAGGTTTTTTGATAGGTCTTTGACAGGTAGCGTCATCTTTTGGAATCATGTTAAGTTAGATTATTTTTACGTAAAAATCGTTCCTACTCCCCCCAACTGGGCCACCTTCACCTCTGAGTTAGGTTAGGTTGACAGTTGACATGTAGGTAGGTTAGATGCCTTTTTCAGATGTCTTTTCTCAGGTTGGATGACTTTTCCCAGGTTAGATGACACTTAGGTTGGATGACTTTTGGCTAAAATGGCGCTTAGGTTAGATTCCTTTTTGACAAAATGGAGCTTCCGTTAGATAACTTTTCACTAAATAACGCTTAGGTTAGACAGTTCAAAAGTGTTTTCAACGCACCCCATATCTACTACTTGAATCTAAAAACATAATAATTTTTAATTTGTTGGAAAATATAGCTTTCTATAAATTACTTTGAAATGTAGTCAGAAATCTCACCTGATAATTGTAATTGTGGTTTTCCCTTAAATGAATTTCACCATTTTCAATTCTTAAACAGAGAATCATTTTTTTCAATACGTACTTAACCTTTTTAGCAGTTACTGTCTTCGCTGCAGAGACGAAAAAACCGGAAAAACGCTATGTCGCAGAAAGAAACGTACTATCTCTAAGCACTGGGTACCAATTAGGTACGCATCAACATGGATCGCCACATTCCATCAGTTACGGAGCGCCTCTATCTTTTGGATCTTCTGGATCGCCCCATCACTTTAGTTATGGAGCTCCTTTACCTCTTGGATCATCCATCTCAGCTTACAGTTCTCCCTATGCTTTCGGGCCTTCACCATTAGCTCTAAAATCATGTTTGCTATAATTTTTAATGCAATGATTTGTGCATTCCGACTTTGTTTCCTGAAATTTTAAATACAATAACGTAAACTAGTTTAACATATATTAAAATGTGTACCTACCTCTACACGGAAAAATTGTTTATTATCCACCACTCAATATAAAATAGAAATATTCAAGAACCAAATCGTTTTTTTATACAACTCTCCCTACTACCTTTCAACGTAATGGAAATAAATCAAAATATTTAAAATTTAATCTTTGTTACTGTGATGTTCATAATTTTTTTTCTCTAATGAAAATTAAACTCACTTTTCTTAGATTGCAGGTAGTCAAAATTAAATTATAAGATATACAACCTTAATCTATGAACATTATGAATTTTAAAATCAAATAACTACTTCTTTGATTCTCTAAGTCTTATAATAAGTATTATAATAATAAATTGTCTAGATTTAGGTACTTAATACCTACTTTCGAAAAGTGAAATTATTTTAATTTAATCTCGGTATTTTTTAAATTTGTATCTTATATTTCTTATATTGTAAAACAATGAAAATGAGAGCAGTTTGTTTTTTTTTTTCTATCATATAGAGTTAAAAATTCTTTTAAAATCAATATAAGAGGTAAATATTTATTTCTACAGGTGTCAACGATATACGCCATCAAAAAATATGGGATTTAAACCCGAATCGCCGAATCCAAAGTCCCGAGCTCGGCCCATTCCTCTATTATTGGTATTAATTCATATACATCATTTTTATAAATATAAATATTTAGTTTTCAGCCAAAGCATTTCATTATAGGTGATTAAAAATTTTCTTTGTATTTTAAAAAATGAAATTTTTCTTTTTTTGAAGACATGGATCTAGCAATCAGTATGTAGGTATATAGAATTAATATATACAAATTTAAAACTTGTTCTTAAAAATTTAAAAAATAAATAATTGCTTATAAGTAACACTTTTACCTATACGACACAGAGAAATGTCAATCAAAAAACACAATTTTCTATTTTAAACAAAGCAGGGAAAAATATATACAAACCTTGTTCAAACTGCAACAGATATCAACTAAAAAAAAATATATTTTAAAATCGACAAAAATCGAAGAATCCTCATTTTAATAATCAGATTATTATTGCTTAATCTCGTTTAGGTTACGTTAATCACTTATATAATTCCCAAACCGATATTTTATGCCTAAATTAATAATATTAACATCTGGATCAGTGTTGAAACAAGTGGATGATTTATAATGTTTAGAAGATGAGTTTCTCGGATATAAAAGCTTGTAAATTTTTGGAAACAGCATCATTGTTTGGTCACTGTTCTTTCAGTAAACATGAAATCTTTGGTAAGTAAACAATAATTAATAACATTAATAATACTTAAAAAATTTATTTGTTTTTAATAGTTTTCCAATAAGCTCTAGTCCTTACTTAATATATCTGACTCATTTTACTTGATTTAAACATTTTTTAGGTTGATAATAATCTATTAAATAATTTTGTATTCTGATGAATCAATTTAGATCAGAATATATTCTTGTATCAGATTAGATATTGATTATATTTTACACAGTAATAATATTTTAGGTAAAATGTCTTAAAACATTTAATTTTAAAAACCAGTAAACTCTAAAATTGTTAACAAACTGAAGGTATATTTAACCTCATAAGGAAAATTTACTTTATGAAGTTAACTAACTTTCTTTTCTTTATTTTTTCTTTTCCATTTTTTTTATTTCTTCTTTTCTTCTTTCGTTACTATGACATTCAATTTTCAATCGTATTTCTTCAGTAATATTCATAATTCACAAGCATTTAGAACAACTGCAGGATCAGTAACTACAACTGCAGCAATTAAATTAATCAAATAGAGTTAATTTTTATTTAAAAACTCTTTAGCTCCAACTATATTTACCAATGGAAATGACCAAACATCTTCTTTAATAGCTAACTATATTTTAACAAAAAACCTTCCTCCTTCTATATGTAAAATTAATTTTAGTAAAATCTGTATTAATCATGACATACCATAATCAACTTTAATTACAAAAACTAACTCAAATATCTTTTCAGGTCTACTTAACCTTCTTAGCAGTTACTGTCTTCGCTGCAGAGACGAAAAAACCGGAAAAACGCTATGTCGCAGAAGGAAACGTGCTATCTCTAAGCACTGGGTACCAATTAGGTACGCATCAACATGGATCGCCACATTCCATCAGTTACGGAGCGCCTCTATCTTTTGGATCTTCTGGATCGCCCCATCACTTTAGTTATGGAGCTCCTTTACCTCTTGGATCATCCATCTCAGCTTACAGTTCTCCCTATGCTTTCGGGCCTTCACCATTAGCTCTAAACTCTCAAGTTTCTCTATTTGGACTTACCAACGGCGTTCCAACGCATTACGCACCTTCTTCCCCATACAATCAAGGATCTTTGAATGCTTTACCACTTATAAATTTGGGAGAATCTTCGCACACAGTCATTACAAAACACGTGAAAGTTCCAGTTGATAGAGCAGTACCCTTTCCAGTTGACAGACCGTATCCAGTACCAGTTGACAGACCGTATCCAGTACCAGTTGATAGACCAGTGGCTGTACCACATCGCGTTGAAGTACCAGTAGATCGTCCGTATCCAGTTAATGTACCTCAACCCTACCCTGTAACTGTAGAAAGGCAAGTACCTGTTCCTGTGGAAAAGGCAGTGCCAGTTGCAGTTAAGGTTCCTTACAAGGTTGAAGTTCCAGTTCCTTACAAAGTAGAAGTACCACAACCTTATCCCGTCGAAGTACAACGACCAGTACCTGTACCTGTTCCCCAACCAATTCTTGTTAAAAAACAAGTACCAGTGTCTATTCCTGTTGTATACAGGGAGCAAGTACCAGTACCGCAACAAGTTTTTGTGAGAGAACAAATACCAGTGCAAGAACATGCACAGCAACATCAAGTTTTTGTGAGAGAACAAGTACCAGTGCAAGAATATGCACAGCAACATCAAGTTCTTGTGAGAGAACAAGTACCAGCGCAAGAATATGCTCAGCAACATCAAGTTTTTTTGAGAGAACAAGTACCAGTGCAAGAACATGCAGAGCAACATTATCTTTTTGGAGAGCAACAGATGGCTACTCCTAATCATGAAGTTTTATTCAGAGAATCTTTATCAGGATACTCACCGTTGGTACTTAAACAACATTCTCACTAAGCACCTTTGATTTTGTAAATCACCAAGACTGGTTACTTAAATAAATATATTTTGTGATATAATACAGTTTTTAATATATTTACCTAAATACCCACTAAAATTAGGATCTTTTGAAGCAAATTGATAGAAAATAGCTGATCTGTCAGATGTCATTTAGGTTCTAAACTAACTAAATCTACTAGTGGATTTTATTTGTTGCACTAGGTATAAGTTTTCTGCACTAAATGCATTTGATTTGTTCAGTGTAGATTGAAATATTTGACAGATACTTGATTGATTTGACAAGTATGACAGTTCGAATACAGTGTCGAGTGTAACACTAGTGCAACAAATAAAATCCATTATACGTTTTCGCAATGTCATTACAGTAAATTTGCTCTAGAATTATTTTTCTTAATAAAAGGGTCAAATTTAGCAGAACGTTGCAATGTCTAAAAAGTGTATAACCGGTTGGCACGTATACTGCATTAATCAATTTTATTCCTTTCTTGATGCCGATAATAACAAAAGATTCCTGTGTAATTTCCTATTCGAGTTACATACCAAAAGTTATGTTATACATATCAATTGGATTTCTTTATTTTAAAAGGACATATCTGCATGAAAGAATGAAAAGATTACGTGAATTTGTAGGTTATATAGTTAAAATTGGTAAATGAAATAACTGCTGAATTATAAGTTTTTAAATAGACGCCTTAATACTTAATTTTATATTTTACATATTAAAGGTAGTAAAAGAAACTATTAAATAATATTTTTCTAAATTTCGAAAAGTTTGTTCTAATATTATTAGAGTTCTTTGAAAAACCTTCCAAATGCTTTGAATTTAATTTTTGTATATTTAAAATAACAAAACATACATGCCTAAAGTGTCTATTTTATTATAATGGCTAATTGACTCTGATTATATTAGATTTTTCTAAAAATAAATTATTTTAATAAAAAAATCATAATACCTAATTAAAAATCAGAACAGAACACAAAAAAGATATTTTTAATTAAAAAGACTTTAATCAAAAGGTAAACCTAAAATTAATATTTCGAACTTAAAAATTTTAGGAATAGAAACAAAAATTCTTTTAAAGGATTCATATAACACTGTCTTACAAATGTCATACTGCAAACAAAATTAAAACACAATTTTTACATAATAACAATTCAAATCAAGATAGTAATCTAATAAAAACAGAATAAGACAAATCAAAACAGGATAACAAAACAGAGCACCAAAAAAGTGATTGTTCAAATAATATATTATCATGTAAAAATTGTGTTATGTCGAATCTGAAATATAAAACAAAATATGATACCAGTCATGGATGTGATAGTAGGCAGTGTCTTTCTCTTAACTATCATGTTCAGAAATATTTTTCCCATAAAATATTAGTGTACACTGATATACAAAAATATAACACTAGAAACTGAAAGGATATGTCTATACCTTGAAGTAGAATGAGAGAGGGACGTTTAAAGTTTTGCTACCGGTAGATATTAAATTATTTCAGTAATTAGAAGTAAAAACTTAATTACGTATTAAGTACCTGAGAAATGGCAAATTTGTTATTGTATAAAGCGAGTTTATACATTTTGGCCCTTGGTTGTTTTTGCATAAATTTAGATTATCAACAACAGGACTCTTATAGATTGTTAAACATTAAAATTTATCATGTTTGCCTCAAAAATTAAAACTAAATAACATCTAAAAATGTATTTAGAAGGGTAGGGTGCAAGTATTTACTGCAATACTGTTTTTATTTGGTTGAAAATTACCTACTTGCTACATATCGTTGTAAATAATATTGTAATTTAAGTAC